ATAAATATTCAGAACCAAAGGAATCAAATTACTTAGAAGATCTGTTAAATATAAAAATTCAATATTTTTACACATATAAGAAGCCCAAATCTCACTTCAATAAAGAATTAACTCTTAGAGTTCAAATAATAAAACAATTAAAACTCAATAAATAAAGTCTAAAATATTGAATAAATACTCTCTGATAATCCAAATAAAGTAGAAATAAATGAATTGTTATCTAACTCTAATTACTCAAACCAAGTCCTTTTATATCTTAATTAACACCTTCTAAAATTAGAGATTATATATATTAGTATAGTGTTTATTAGTTATAGCTTATATAATCTGAATTATATTGTACTAGAGCCAGCCTCCACTTTTTTACTATTCTATCAATTTGTAGATTGTTATACAATTGATAAAAATTTTTTTATATTGTTTTAAAGTACTTTTTTGAAAAGCTCACATTACTTATTCTGCTATGAAATATAAGTAAACACTCTAAGTAAACTTGAAGATTTCGTATTGAATTTTAATAATATTAGTTGAATCTAGTTAAATCTAACAACTTTTATATTAAGTTTTATCTAGCAAAGATCTATATAAAATGAAGCAATACATAGAACACTAAGCTACTAATTTATCTAGATTCTATTCACTGACTAGAAAAAAGTAAGAAAAGGCTAAAAATAATGATTTAGTAAAGATAACTTGAGAGAAATTAATATTTTATATAATCATTATTACATGTATTTAGTAGAAAATTCCTTAAATAGAGATCTCAAGAGAGCAAGAACTGTAGAAGAAACAACAGATAAGGAGGATGAGGTAAATATAGTAGAGAAAAAGATAAGTAATACAAAAATCAATTTTAATAGAGCAATAAAGTCAATAGCCAAAATTCTTTATGAAAGAAAGTATATCAAAAAAAAAAAATTCTTTTTATATATTTGATAAAATACAAAATTTATTGCAAGAAACTAATCCAACTTTAAAAGATTTTTTGATTAACTTTATTCTGCAGCTCAGCTAATTAAACATAATAAGCCAACAATAGATCATATAAAGAAATTAATGATATTAATATGTTATCTTCTTGCTTCATTGAATAATACAAAAGTTAATAACATTAAGCTTGATTTTGCTTATTATTTAGATTCAGTGGACACAACAAATAAGAGTCTAAACATGATGGCGAATATTGGTGTACTGTATAGCATCTATTTTAGTAAATTTTATTTTATACTAGCAATACTACATAATGAAATAATTAATCTAAAGATCATTGATAATGAATTGATTATTAAATATCTCAATGAGTGATTTATTGTAAACCTAGAGATTTCTTATCATAATTGCAGTCATATTTGAGATGTAGAAAAAGAACTCTCTGATAATGAACTCTTAGATAGACTAATATTGCATAGTTATAATAACAGATTAGAGAAGAGAAAAAGCGAACGCTATCTTAAGAATACTATTCTTGTCAATTTTGTTGCAAGCAATTTGAAAAAAACTGAAGATTATTTGAAAGCTCTTCAAATTCTTTGTATCTATGAATTGATACAAATATATCTTTTCAATTATGCAATTCCTATCATCGCGAACTAGCCCGAACAATTTTTTATTTGTGAAGCTATCACAAAACAGATCCTTGCTAACAAAATGACTATTCCTTTATTTGTGACTGCTTTTTTGCCTATTATAGATCCTCTTTATATATTTCTAAATGCTCGTAAACTTGTATTTAAAAAAAATTCATTTTTTTTAATAAAATATATAAGGGTATATTTGAAACAGGTAAGGATCTTGATAAGACTCTACAGCTATGAAGAATTGATTTAATTCTTCATATTATACATGCAGTATAGTTGGGTATAACTAATATTATTTATTTGAAGTTTGGTCATATGTGTAAAAATATAGAATTTTTATATTTATACAGTATAAGACAAAAAAAATTGGAATTACTAATTATAGAATAACAGAAGAACAACTACATAAAATTACTTGAAATTTACAATATAAGTAGACAAATATTAGATGATTTATTAATAAAAAAATTAATATGATATATGTTTGCCATTATTATCAATTACTTGTTGACAGCATCACCTCATTGATTTCACTAAACTAACTAAAAGTGATTTTGGAATTTTATTCCATTTATTTTTTATATATTACTCTAATTCATCCAAATTTTTTAGCATCCGTTTTTCTACGTTACTTTTAACAATACACCACAAATTTTCTATTGGATTAAGATCAGAACTAACTGAAGGCCAGTTCATAAGTTCAGGAACATTATTATGAAGGAAGGCTGTAGCAAGTTTACTAGTATGTTTCAGATCATTGTCTTGTTGCCATCACTATCATGTACCTATCATCTTTTTAACTTCTGGAAGATGTTTACGAACAATTTTAACATAAAATTCCTTGTTCATGATATTTGTAAAGCAAAATAAACTAGATTTTCCTTTTACCAAAAAACTACCCTATACTTTGAGTTTAGTTCGGTCTTTAGGAACACAACGAATTGGACACTGACCTTTATGCCAACACTTGACAGTATTCCAGAAGAGTTGAAAAGCAGACTCATCAGTAAAAAAAGTCCTATTCTAGTTGTCATTAAGGTGAGCTCTGGCCTATTTTACTTGAGCTTTTTTGTGTTTATTAGTTAGTATAGGAGTTTTTAGAGAGAGACTTTTAACAAAGCCAATATTATTCAAATGCCTTCCAACTATGCGATAAGATATATTAATATCTATATTTCCTAGTTTATTAGCCAAGGTTCTTGTTGTAATCGAAGAGTCCTTGTGAATTTCCTTCTCAAGTGCCTGGGAGTCAACTTTACTAATTTTTGTAGGCTGCCTATTCTCTCTTGCATAGTTCGTATTTCTACTTTGTTTTAATTTTTTTATATTATAATATATAGTGGAGGGGGGGATACTTGTTCATTTATGAAGTTCTTTTGCACTACATATACCTTTATTCCATAGGTATAGTATAGTTTCTCTTTGGTTATGTTTAATACATACCTTACTTTGTGTCATATAGTTTATTCAAAAGGTACAGTATATATGTGAAATATAACATTATAAAATATAGTTGCGAAGTCAATATTCAAACAACATCTTGCAGATCGAAGATTAGATTTATCTGTAAAAAGTTACACATGACTTAAATCACATGCAAAATTTTCCAATTTTTTTTGTCTAGAACTGAAATATGCTAAATTATTTTTAGACAAATTTATGAAGATATATCAATGCGGAATAAGTATTCTTGAATTAATAAATCTATATTTTATAGTATTGACACATATAAGTTAATTTCTTTAGGTTATGAAGTAACTAATCATCATTTTCTAAGAGGCATCATTACTTTCAGAAAACCTAATACTGCTATCTTATATGATTATATGTATTGTGATAGCAATTTATCTGATAGCAGTATTCTGGCATATAGCCACAGCTATCATAGTTTTTGCTTGCAAGTTAGTCAGTTTAAATGCCTTATATGTCTCAATTATCTTAAAAATAAAGTTAAGAAGAATATCAAGGCACTTCTAAAAAGTTTGTTAAAAGAAAAAAACAAGGTTAAAAAAGAATCTAGCAATAAGAATAGGGAAGATATGAATGAAGTTAACTAGAATAATTTAGGAGCAGTAGCAGATAATATTGCAGTAATAGAGAATTGTTTAGAATTTACAAAAGAATTATTTCTTGTACTGTAAATTTTATTAGATATTATAAATTATTTTCTTTGTTCATTTTTTTTTTTTTTTTGTTGTTAAGGCGGCTTACATTGCTGAAAGAATTTTATTAGAATTATCAATAGGATTATACATGAATAATTCCTACTGTTTGTAATTACATGAAGAGTGTACAATAAGCTACATGTACAACTTTAGTCATTGTCTATTTTAAGTAGTCCACCGCACAGGCATTAGGCTACTCAATTTGTTCTACACTATGCTACCATATCTGTAACCCACTTGTATGTTACCTATTTAAACACTCTGTTCATTAACTCATACAGATCCAACCTAACATCACTACAATATCTAACTGCTTAAGCCAGCTAGCTCATTATAGATCTATTTATCCAAACAGCTTAGATCCTCTCAGGATACATTATACTAGGCGTATTGCTAGTACCGCAGAGCTAGTTAATCTTGAAACAAACCTACTAGAGTAGTCTGTATCTATTTTATAAATTTACTTAGCTTAGACCCTTGTAGATATTTGTACAACTCCAGGTTCTACTGTGATCCTCTACCTGTTAGTTAACCTAGTCCTTTTCTAGTATTCAGCCAGTTCTGATTACCTTTCACTTAGAGATCTCAAAACCTTCTACCTTTATTAGACCAAGTTTTCTTTGCGGATCAGACTTTAGCTAATGTAGTCCTGTCAGAAGGCTGTACTACTTTATTAACTTGGGATTTCTACTATGCAGGTCTACTGCTCATATATCCTATCAAGATTTATTTGTGTAATATTATACTACACTTCTAAGTTCTGATTAATTTAATACAACTCAATTTATAGGAGTACATCTCCAGAAACAAACAGAGTTTACTATAACATATCACAAGGTCTGAGAAATTATTCAAATTTGTCAACAGTAGAATTTGAACTCCAGACCTATTGTATAGTGGTCTGACAACCTAACCACTATACTAGGTCACCAGACCTTATTTTCTTTGTTCATATTATATAGTATAGTTTATTTTATATCAGCAGATTTGCAGAATTGAGATCTCAAGAGTTCATTTTACAAATTTACAAACCTATAAAATTCTAATTTCACAAATCTGCTAATATGTATTAATTTTTTTTTTAACATTCAGCAGTCATGCCGTAACTTTATTTAGATTTGTTTTACAATAAAAACAACATTATTTGGTTTAACCTTCTAATGTCTAATTTTTTAAGTTATGACTCACCCGGTTATTCTAACAATACCTATGTGCGATCTGCTATAGTGACCTTTATTCTAGATTGTTGTTCTTGTGTTAAAACAAAAACAAGTCCTCCAAGGATGGACGCTACAGCCCATCATAACTGCTTTTATAACCAATTAATTTTTTTACCCTCCTTAACTTCCCTTTCTATACTACTTAATGCTATTTTAAGGCTACTACTACTTATATCTGCATCTTCGTCTACTTTGCTTTTGCTACTCCTCATTGGTATGTCTTTCTTGCATTTCTTTCCTTTTTTTCCTTTCGTTCTTTCTTTTCGCAAGTACTTTTCTTTTCGAGATATGTTTTCTTTTTTTTTCCATGCTTCCATATCTTTGCATCGGCTCTTCCAGACTTCTTTATAAAACAGTTCTATCCAAATATGCCAGAACATACACCAAAACTTAATCATCATTTTTTCGGATCCGACTATATCTTTAATCTTGAATGCCTCTTCTTCTCTAAGAATTCCTCTTAGCCATTCTATTTGTATTTGGCTTTTTTCTCTTAAACCACTGTTTAATGCTTGCTTGAGGCTTTCGAGATCCCATTCTTTTTCTTTTCTTTCGTCTTCATGGAGTTGTTCCCATGCTTTCTTTTCAATTTCTCTTAGGGCCGGTTGTGATTTCTCACATTTGATTAGGTGGTTAATTGATTCTTTTTCTTTGGCACATCTTTTGCATAGCTTGTCTCTGTATATATGTGGTTTTCTACTGTTCAGTACTTCTATTATTGGAAGGATATTTTCGATGCATTTAATTTTGAACAGATGTAGGTGATTCACTTCTGAGTTGGAAAATTGTTTGCGGCAGCCTTCTAGTATTCCTTTGAAAGCCTTCCACTCTTGCTTTTGAACTCTGAGTTGATGTTCCTCATCCTTCTTTTTCCTTACCCACGTCCATTCTGCTTTGTAAGTTGCTTGAACAGTTCTTTTAACAAAGGCTCTTAGCGGAGTTTCTAAACTTATATTTTTCCACTCTGGAATAAATCTTACATTACTATTGCTAATATCATTGAATTTTGTAACGTAAAGTTCTTGTGAGCCTTCTTTTGCTAAATTGTCTGCTATATCGTTAAACACGTCTTCTGAGTGGCCTTTGACTTTAGTAAAGTTTAGTTGGATCAACTTGCTTATACTTGCTTTTTTAATTGCTCGCAGAATATTACTATTCTTAGACTTAAACCATTCTCGTGTCTTTTGGTATCTTAAACAGTTTTCGATTGTTGCTATAGCACATGCGCTATCTGTTCGAATTTCTACTTTGCACTTGCTAGGTGCTAAAAGGATTGCAATTAGACATGCAGTTATTTCTGCACGAGTAGACGAAAACCAGTTTTGAATTCTTCCACTATAACTACAAACTACATTATTCATGCTATCTACTTGAACTACACTATATCCCATCCTTGCTTCTTCCCTACTTTCCCTTCCTCTGAGTGAGCCATCCATGTAAAAAAACTATTTTTTCCTTTTCTCGATTTGCTTCTAATCTTATTTTAAGCTCTCTTCTGACCTCTTCATTTTGAACTATTTGGTTGATTAATTCCATTTCCTAGCTACTTTCTAATTTAATAACTTCAAGGTTTTTAAATTTTTTAAACTCCTCTACTTTCCTTCTTTTAGTGCTTTCTCCTATCTTTTCGAGAGCCTCTCTATTGAATGTTAGGTACGGTGTGTTGTCTTTTTTCCGAACATACCTTAAAATATTTTGTACTTTTTTCAGTGCTACTCTTTGATTTTTACCTTCTTTTGTTAGCTTGGAGTTCTCTACGTATCTTTTTTGCTGGTAGCTTTCTTCTACTTGATTCTCTTGGTCTTCTTTCCATGTTTCTACTTCTACTAACCTTTTCTCTTTCTTAACAACACGGCCGATTTGACTCTTTTGATTTTCTTTTCCTTTTATTAGTACCCATTCTTTTTTCCTCTTGTCTTCTGATAATTTATCTTCACTTCTTTGATTCGAAAATTCACCTATCCTTCTGTATTTTTCTTTGACTTCTCTTGTTTCAGCATTTTCTAATATTTCATCTTCTAGTACTTCAAACCACT